TCAATGTAGTCAAACAGCCAGTAGCCAATGATGCAAAGCAGCTCTTTGCCATATTTATGGTGGACGAACAGCCCATAAGATTTCAGCTGGATTGTGGAGCAAGCTGCAATGTCATTCCATTTACTCTGCTTAACAAACAGGTTCCCATTGAGCCCACTGATAAGGTACTGGTCATGTACAACAAAAGTGTTCTGAAACCCATGGGAACATGCAAGCTAAAATTAAGAAATCCACGTAACAGAAAGAGCTACAGAGTGGAGTTTACTGAGTTGCAGGAGGACGATCACATTCCTTTGCTGGGAGTTAAAGCAGTTCAGGCTATGGACTTAATAAAGGTGCAGTCCCATAACATCATGGCTCTGGAAGTTTCTGAGAATACTCAAAATCCTAAACAACAGGCAGAATACATTTTGGATTTTCACCACATAAAAACAGAGTATGCTGATTTATTTGAAGGTGATGGGTGCCTGGAAGGTAAATACAAACTAGAAATTGATCATACAATACAGCCTACCAGACTGCCTACAAGAAGAGTACCTGTAGGAGCCTTAATGCAACCGCTTAAAGAGGAACTGCAGGATTTGCACAGCAGAGGTATGATAGCACCACTACAGGAAAGCACAGACTGGATAAGCAGTTTGGTGATAGTGAAAAAAACCATCAGGCAAGTTAAGAATATGCATTGATCCTAAGCCACTGAACAAGGCCCTTAAAAGAAATCACTATCCAATGCCAACAATAGAAGATATTCTACCAGATCTATCAAAGGCTAAAATATTTTCGGTATGTGATGTGAAAAATGGGTTCTGGCATGTGGAACTGGATAAAGAATCAAGTTTATTAACAGCATTTTCTTCCCCATTTGGACGCTATAAGTGGCTTAGAATGCCAATGGGAGTAAGCCCGGCTCCAGAAGTGTTCCAACAAAAATTGATGCAAGCTTTGGAAGGACTGTCTGGAGTAAAAATAATAGCAAATGATATGCTAATAGTTGGGGAAGGTGATGATCTAGAATCCGAACAAAGGATCACGATAAAAAATGATACAATTCTTAGACAGATGTAAAAAAACAAATCAAACTGAACCTGGAAAAATTCAAACTAAAAATGACAGAAGTACCATATATTGGACATCTTCTTACCTCAAATGGTGTTAAAGTCGATCCAGAGAAGGTGAGGGCAATACAGGACATGCCGACACCTACAGATATACGTGGAGTACAATGATTCCTGGGCATGATGAATTATCTTTCCAAATTTTGCAAGCATTTATCAGACATGTGTGAGCCACTGAGACAGCTAACTCACAAAGACGTACTCTGGGAAATGGACAGAAAGCCATGAAACTGCTGTTCAGTCAGTGAAAAATGCTATTGCAGACGCAGCAACACTAAAATATTTTGATCCAGATCAAGCAGTGGTAGTACAATGTGATGCCTCAGAAACCGGCCTTGGAGCACACTAATGGAGGATAAACAGCCAATCACATATGCAAGCAGAGCGTTAACTCTAACAGAGCAAGGATATGCTCAAATCGAGAAGGAACTACTAGCGGTAGTATTTGGGTTAGAGAAATTTCACCAGTACACCTACGGTCGACAAAGTGGTGGTGCATTCAGATCACAAGCCTTTAGAAAGTATTACAAAGAAGCCACTACTGAATGCCCCAAAAAGACTGCAGCATATGCTGTTAAGGCTTCAGAAATATGATTTTAACATTTGTTACTGTCCAGGGAAGGATTTACTGATTGCAGATGCCCTAAGCAGAGCTTACTTACCCATCACGAATGAAGAAGAAAAAGACATTGAAAGCTTCAATATGTGTGAATATCTGTCTGTCTCAAAAGACAGACTGAAACAAATACAGACCTGCACAGCGGAAGATATAACTCTACAGATCCTAAAGACTGTCATCTTGAAGGGATGGCCAAAACACAAGCAGCATGCTCCAATGGAGGTTTCTCCATTTTTTTATATATAAGAGATGAACTCTCTGTGCAGCATGGAATCATCTTTAAAGGAGAAAGGGCTGTCATACCACAATCCCTTAGAAGAGACATTATAGAAAGATTGCACTCGACTCACTTAGGTGTAGAAGGATGTCTACGTCATGCACGAGAATATGTTTATTGGCCTGGAATGTATGACCGCATAAAAAAACTTTATAGCAGTGTGAAATATGTGTATCGTGCAATGATAAGCAACCGAAAGAGACATTGTTGCAACCACATACAATTCCAACAGACCATGGTCAAAAGTAGGAACAGATCTGTTCACGTGGAACGACAAGGAATATCTGGTAACTGTGGACTATTTTTCCAACTTCTGGGAGATAGACTACTTACAGGACACAAGGGCCAAAACAGTAATTAAAAAACTCAAGGCCCATTTTGCCAGATATGGCATTCCGGATATTGTGTTCTCTGACAACGCCGCTCAATTTACATCGGAAGAATTCAAAAATTTCAGGGAGAGGTGGGAATTTGAGCACCAGACATCATCTCCTGGATATCCACAGAGTAATGGTAAAGCGGAGTCAGCAGTAAAAACAGCCAAAAGACTCATGCAAAAGGCAAAACAGGCAGGTACAGAGATATACCTGTCTATACTGGACCACAGAAACACACCCACACAAGGCCCTAGACACCAGTCCAGCACAGCGGCTTATGAGTAGACGTACAAGGACTCTCCTACCAACTGCAGGTCAACTACTAAAGCCAAAGCTTGTGGGCAATGTTAAAGCCAAACTAACAAAGAATCAAGATAGGCAAGCTTTCTATTATAATAAATCTGCAAAAGATCTGCCTGTTCTGCAGAGCAATGATAATGTACGGATTCAGCCAATAGGCAAATATGACAAACACTGGAAAGAAGCGAAGGTTGTACAGAAATTGGGACCACGGTCCTATGAAATTATAACAGAGGAAGGAAGAAGATGGAGGAGAAATCGGAGACATCTGAGAAAAACACAAGAAGGAGATGATACAGGGCCCTGGGAACAGTATATGGACACTCAAAGCGATGAGACTATGAATACCAGCAACAAAGAAACAGGGACTGCTGAGGAGCATAGGGAGGTCTCTAGGCAGAGAGAGACAGTCCCAGAAAATAGACTGCCAGAATCAGAAGAACACCAAGATTTCTGTGAAGAAACCTCATATGTTACGCAAGCTGGCAGAACAATCAGAAAGCCGGCTCACCTCAAGGATTATATATAACTTATAGCTATGTTCTACTTCACCAATTTTGTGTTTGTTATATTTCATTGTTCTTTTATTTAAACGAGAAAGGATGTAGCAATATGTTATATGCTGTGTATGGCCTCTAGGGGTCTCACTACTTAGATACTGGTACAACTGTGTTATTGCCTCTCTTTGGTTGTAGTCCTAAGCAGACACATGTTTAATGGCAGCTAGAAGCACCTAATAAAATGTCTCCTACTAACTACAGTGTGTGAGCATCTGAGCAGGATCGACTAACAGAACACTGTCTATGTCTGTCTATCTCTGTCTGTCTATCTGTCTATGTCCGTCTGTCTATCTCTGTCTGTCTGTCTATGTCTGTCTCAGGGGCGGACTGACAACTCATGGGGTCCCCGGGCAATAGGGGATCATGGGGCCCCTGTGTCCTTGCCCAAACTCAAAAAGCCTATGAAAAAGGTACCAGGGGCATCTCATGGGGCCCCCTACTGACCCCGGGCCCTCGGGCAGTGCCCGAGTTTCCAAATTGTCAGTCCGCCCCTGGTCTGTCTGTCTGTCTATGTCTGTCTCTGTCTGTCTATCTCTATCTATCTCTGTCTGTCTATCATACTTCTATATTTTTTTGAGCAACACATAGGGCTTCTTTATAAGAATTGATTGTGGAAAAACGTTTGCTCTGGTCAACTGGAAATGTTCTTCTTAAGACGCTTTTCATATGTCTGTTCAATGGAGTTCAGTATACGAGCCTTGTAAAGCTGAGTTCTGCATTTAATGCATCTTTTACATGGAATTGGCGTGTCTCATGTTTGAATGACTCTTCTCCGGTTTACTATATTATAATGATAGATTAATAGACCTCTGACTTCAATAGGTCAAAGGTGTATAGGTCAAAAATGATTATCTGGTGACCAGGTGACACCACCTTGGTCTCTGTATGACCTCACTGCTTTGGTGGACTGCCAGAAACTTTGAGTACCCTGTAGTTCCTTGTAGCTCGGCCATTCTCAACCAGGGTTCTGTGGAAGGCTTGGGTTTCTCTAGAACAGTGGTCACCAAATTGCAGTCCTTTGCTCACTTTTATCTGGCCCATGGGGCTCTATTTCATCCACTGATATCAATAATTGGGCATAACTCCTCACAGTGATGCCAAAAAAGGGGCACAATTTCTCACAATGACACTAATAAATGGGGCCCAATGACACCAATGCTGGGGCACAATTTCTCCTAATGACACCAATGATGGGGCACAATACCTCCCACTGACACCAATAATGGGGCACAAGTCTTCCCACTGACACCAGCAATGGGGCACTGTTCCACTGACACCAACAATGGGGCACTATTCCTCCCACTGAAACCAATGCTGGGGCACTATTCCTCCCAATGACCCCAAGGATGGATCACTATTCCTCCCAATGGCACCAATGATGGGGCACAATTCCTCCCATTGTCACCCACAATTGGGCACTATTCCTTCTCAGTAATGCCAACAAAGGGGCACAATTTCTCACAACGACACTAACAATGGGGCCCAATGACTCTAATGCTGGGGCACAATTCCTCCTAATGACACCAATGATGGGGCACAATTCTTTCAAATGACACCAACGATGGGGCACAAATTCTCCAAATGACACCAATGATGGGGAACAATTCCTCTCAGTCATGCCAACAAAGGGGCACAATTTCTCACAACGATACGAACAATGGGGCCCAATGACACCAGTGCATGGGGCACAATGCCTCCCATTGACACCAGTGATGGGGCACAATTCCTCCTAATAACACCAATGATGGTGCACAATTCCTTCCAGCGATGCCAACAAAGGGGCACAATTTCTCACAATGACACTAAAAATGGGGCCCAATGACACCAGTGCTGGAGCACAATTCCTTCCACTGACACCAATGATGGGGCACAATTCCTCCTAATGACACCAATGATGGGGCACAATTCCTCCCAATGACACCAATGATGGGGCAGTATTCCTCCCAATGATACCAATGATGGGGCACTATTCCTCTCACTGACACCAACAATGGGACACAATTCCTCCCAATGACACCAACAATGGGGCACTATTCCTCCCAATGACACCAATGATGGGGCGCAATGACTCCTAATGACGCCAACAATGGGGCGCAATGCCTCCTAATGACACCAACAATGGGACACTATGTCTTCCAATGACACTAAGAATGGGGCCACAGTCTGCCCCCCCTAAAATCTGAAGGATAGTAAACTGGCCCTTTGTTTAGAAAGTTTGGAGACCACTGCTCTAGAAGTTGATTTTAGCTATGTGCAAGAAGGGGATTCTTGCAACTGGCCACCAATGTAAGGACCCTTTTTCCCACTGACCACAACACTAATGTATAGTGATATGTAAATCTACAGTAGTAATTATTACAAGGGTTCTCCAAGACAGGAAAGTTATTTCAGGGGTTCCTCCATGTTAAAAAAAAAACTGGATAAGCTGTTGTAGCTAGACCCCTATAGTGTTGTTTGAACAACCTGCCCTGACTTATGTGAAAAAATGTTGCAATGCATATACAAATATACGTAAAAATGCATGTTAAAATTACTTTTTTTATATGTAAAAAAAAAACCGAGGAATATATTAAAAAAATATATATTTTTAAAAATACATATTTTTTAAATATATTCTTCGGATTTGTTTTTACATATAAAAAAGTCATTTTAACATCTATTGTTACATATATTTGTAAATGCATTGCAGAAATGTAGATTTGTATTTTTAAAGACATACAGTATATTTGAAATGTATTTTTTTTAAATATTTTTCATATATTTTGTAATATAATAAAAATGCATTTCAACATGCAGTATGTGTATCTGTGTATATATATCTGTATGTGTGTGTATGTGTGTGTATATATATATATATATATATATATATATATATATATATATTGAAATATATCGAATATGGCCAAACTTTTAGTATTTCAAATATATTTCTCTTCCTTGTTCAAACAATTTTATTAACAATAAACCAGAATGACACAAACAAGGAGACATTGTTAATGTATACTAGGCATTAAAGTGGCAGTAGGACATAATAAAATGAATGAGGGTCAAGGTATTAATGCCTATACATTTCTAACGGAAACAGGTAGATAAGAGTTGACAACAGATCACAATATGATATCAGCCAATCAGAGCAATGTCTCCCAAGTGCATTAAAGAAATAGGGGGAGGTTTGGAGGGGGTCAGACGGGGTGGAAGGGGGGGAAGGGGAAGAGGAACAACAACCATGACTTCATGACCATTCATCAAGTTTACAACAGCCCCTACGTGCTATGTACAAAGGGCTATTGACAATATCCTTGGCGCACAGTACAGAACTCAAGGGAGAAGGAGTGATTCGTCAAAGTTAGGCGGGAGGAAGCGCTCTACCCAGGGGCTCCATATGTGCAAAAATTTAGGGATCGTGTCAAGAACTGTGGCTTCCACCTTTGCGTGTATCATGGCTTGTGTTATTCTGGTTTTGACGGCTGCGACACTTAGGGTGGGGGATTTCTAAGATTTCGCTATAACCTGCTTAGCCGCTGTCGTAACTTGCATAAGGAGCTTGAATTGCGAATTGGAGATGCCAGGGGGGCACTGATTGAGTAGGGCTGTTGTTGGGTCGGGCTGTATAGTGATAGTGCTAAATGTAGATATCATGGTGAAAATTTCATCCCAAAAGATTCGGGCTATTGGGCATTCCCACCACATATGATAATGTGTTCCTAGATCCGTACAGCCTCTAAAACAATTGGGCGAGTAATTAGGGGTAAATTTTGCGATTCTCGCTGGGGCCAAGTACCAGCGGGTTAAAACTTTATAATTCGTTTCCAATGCTACAATGTTCTGCGAAGACGATTTTGTGTTGGCCCAAATGTGGTCATATATTTTTCTTCCATGTGGGTAGCATCATGCATTTCGGGGTGGCCTGAGTTGGAAACTTATTTTGTGTGTTTCTCATACAGTATGTAGGACAGCCCATTGAAATGAATGCATTGGATCATATAGAAAACGCGTTGAAACACACACATGCTCTATGGACCCTGCATTTTTCTGCAGATATATAAATAGACATGCAATAAAATATTAGCTGCATTTCACAGTAGTGATTCCTTCTAGGCAATAAAAGTTGTTTTTAGCGGTGAGAAGACTCTGTATGCAGTGGCCATCATGGAGAAATATGCATAAAGAATTGGGGGAAGATAATCTCAACAACACGCGGATATAATAAAATATGTTTTATTATCTGTGTTCCAAGAGAACAATTTCAGCACGAAGATAAAAATAATATTTTAACTGTGGGGAAAAACAATGGTAGGAAATATAGGAACTATCTACCGCCATGATGTGTAAATAAATAATTGATCTGTTTCTGCTCATTGCATTCAGCTAATATAAAAGAAAAAAAACAAGGACGTCCCGGCTAGGCATTTATGAGAAGCCTTAAAACCGTATAGTAAGTAATGCTTTAAACACTTATCTTTTGTTAAACATTCTAATACAATCTATTTATGTTTTAAGAATTGAAAATACTGAACGTGTTTCATCTTCGCATTACATTCCAGAAAATTTTGTTGACAGTTCTCTCTGTTTAAAAACAACTAGGATGGGTTTTGGTCAATTTTATTTATTCTTTTTAGAGCTGGTTCATACCAAAATACGTTCTGTGTGCATTTCCAATACTGTAAGTGAACACATGGCCTTTAGGATCTGCATGTGGGAGCCAAAGGATTGTAAATGGCACCCAACTGTAGATCGCAGTGCATTCTGGTGTGAAGAGGCCCCTAGAGAGGCATACCTCCATACACATGTCTCGAGTTAATGAGCGTTGCATCCGTTTTGAATTGGCGGCCAACGCAACTCAAGCTGGTGACAATGCCCTGTCCCTCTCTCATTTTCGATGACCTGCCAATGCACAATTAACCAGACCTGACCCACTTTTGGTAGTACACCGCAGTGTATTACCCTTCATAACAGCTTGCTTTAGTGCATTAGAGTGCCGTTTAGGATTCATTGAACCATAATGCACCAACACGTGCATGGTGCATCATTATAAGTTACTTACTGCAATGCAAATGTGAGGAGCCTTGCCAAAAGTTAAGTTTACAAGTGGGCATGTAGGCAAGTTGCCTATATTAGTTAGTTAGAAATGGCTGGCCCAGGCAAGGGGAAAGGGTTAATTTATTTTGTATTTTTTTCCTGGGCTTTTTTGACCCAGCCCACCCACCCTGTGAGGCACACATAAGGGGAGAAATGCCAGGTACAAGGGCCATGCTCTAGAGTTTCTGGCTTCTGAAGATGCTCTGACACCATGCTATGAAGGGGGACTGCTGCTCTTAGCTGTCCTCCCAAACACACCGGCTTACCTGAGAACTGCCATTTTATGGACTCTATTTGTAGCTGGCCAGCTAAGACCAGTCCTAGGTTGTTAATATGGTTCACATATATGTGTATACCAAACCTGCCAATAACCTCAGTACAGTGTATATGTGCACATGTTAAAGCCAAAAGCAGAATCATTGCTGTAATTTATGTCTTTGATTGTTATATGACATTTATATATTCATTGTGTTAGCAGAAGCAGAAAAGGAAAATATGCCTTTAAGAGTTAGTTAAAGATGAGCCAATCACAGACAGCCTCACACTGTACAGAGCCTTAACCAATCCCAGCCAGTTTCACATTTATGCCTGTGTAAAACTCCCTGCTAGGATTTTCTAGAGACACATGCTCACCAGACACAGAGGAGGAAACAGACAGTTCCAATCAGAGAAGCTTTATGGAGGCAGAGCAGGCCAAATAGGTATGTAATGCACTTGTGTGTTCCTCTATTGTTTAACAGTGCAGGTAGATCTGTGTATAAAAATGTTGTATGTGTTTACTTTAGTTCCACCGAATATAACGAACTTATGAATTTACGAACTTATCGAATATAACGAATTTATAAATCCAAGTGAATTTATCAATCTATCGAAATATACAGAACAAATTTATCAAATCTATTGAACCTATCGAGATAAGCTATCAAATCAAACCACTGTAATATGAAAGAAATAAGCTACTGTATGATAAATGAAACAAGCCATTGTAAGCAGTGTTATATGAAGAAGATTGAAGTTATTAAAGAAGTTAACTAAAGTATTTGGTGTGCTCTTTAAACCTACTGCATCCATAGAGCGGCATTGGAGGAATTACAGAGTAAAGTCAGTCTAATCAAACAAAGAAACAGCAATTGCATAATGTTTCTAATGCCACAGCGCACTAGGCACCAAAGGGTGCTGCGCCTGCCACACTATTCACATTACATGTTTGCACCACAAAAGTTCACTAAAGTCCATTAAACTGTTTTCTGAGCCTTGACTGAAGTTACTATAAAGGGGTGCATGAAGGTTAATGGCACATTCTCTCTTGAGAAGTGGCGATTAAGGGGGGATATGATGACCATGTATAATACATAAGGGGGGATATGATCACCATGTATAATACATAAGGGGGGATATGATCTCCATGTACAATATATAAGGGTGATATGATCTCCATGTATAATACATAAGGGGGATATGTTGATCTCCATGTATAATACATAAGAGGGATATGATCTCCATGTATAATACATAAGGGGGGATATGATCTCCATGTATAATACATAAGAGGGATATGATCTCCATGTATAATACATAAGGGGGGATATGATCTCCATGTATAATACATAAGGGGAGATATGATCTCCATGTATAATACATAAGGGGGGATATGATCTCCATGTATAATACATAAGGGGGGATACGATCACCATGTATAATACATAAGGGGGGATATGATCACCATGTATAATACATAAGGGGGGGATATGATCTCCATGTATAATACATAAGGGGTATATTATCTCCATGTATAATACATAAGGGGGGATATGATCACCATGTATAATACATAAGGGGGTATATTATCTCCATGTATAATACATAAGAGGGATATGATCTCCATGTATAATACATAAGGGGGGATATGATCACCATGTATAATACATAAGGGGGGATATGATCACCATGTATAATACATAAGGGGGGATATGATCACCATGTATAATACATAAGGGGGGATATGATCTCCATGTATAATACATAAGGGGGTATATTATCTCCATGTATAATACATAAGGGGGGATATGATCACCATGTATAATACATAAGAGGGATATGATCTCCATGTATAATACATAAGGGGGGATATGATCTCCATGTATAATACATAAGGGGGGATATGATCACCATGTATAATACATAAGGGGGGATATGATCTCCATGTATAATACATAAGGGGGGATATGATCTCCATGTACAATATATAAGGGGGATATGATCTCCATGTATAATACATAAGGGGGGATATGATATCCATGTATAATACATAAGGGGGATATGATCTCCATGTATAATACATAAGGGGGGATATGATCTACATGTATAATACATAAGGGGGATATGATCTCCATGTATAATACATAAGGGGGGATATGATCTCCATGTACAATATATAAGGGGGATATGATCACCATGTATAATACATAAGGGGGGATATGATCTCCATGTATAATACATAAGGGGGGATATGATCTCCATGTATAATACATAAGGGGGGATATGATCTCCATGTATAATACATAAGGAGGGGATATGATTCAACATGTATAATACATAAGGGGGGATATGATCTCCATGTATAATACATAAGGGGGGATATGATCACCATGTATAATACATAAGGGGGGATATGATCTCCATGTATAATACATAAGGGGGGATATGATCTCCATGTATAATGCATAAGGGGGGATATGATCTCCATGTATAATACATAAGGGGGATATGATCTCCATGTATAATACATAAGGGGGATATGGCGGGAATCCCTCACAATGGACACAGCAGGTGTACATACAGACCCAGGAATTCAGCACAGGGATGGTGGGAACCCCTCATAATGGGCACAGCAGGTGTGCATACCCAGAACCTCAGCACAGGGATGGTGGGAACCCCTAGTAATGGGCGCAGCAGGTGTGCAGACCTGGACCTCAGCACAGGGATAGTAGAAACCCCTCATAATGGGAACAGCAGGTGTACAGACCCAGGAATTTAGCACAGGGATGGTGGGAACTCCTCCTAATGGGCATAGCAGGTGTACAGACCCAGGAACTCAGCACAGGGATGGTGGGAACCCCTCATAATGGGTGCAGCAGGTGTGCAGACCTGGAACCTCAGCACAGGGATGGTGGGAACCCCTCATAATGGGCACAGCAGGTGTGCATACCCAGAACCTCAGCACAGGGATGGTGGGAACCCCTAGTAATGGGCGCAGCAGGTGTGCAGACCTGGGACCTCAGCACAGGGATGGTAGAAACCCCTCATAATGGGAACAGCAGGTGTACAGACCCAGGAATTTAGCACAGGGATGGTGGGAACTCCTCCTAATGGGCAGAGCAGGTGTACAGACCCAGGAACTCAGCACAGGGATGGTGGGAACTTCTCATAATGGGCGCAGCAGGTGTGCAGACCTGGAACCTCAGCACAGGGATGGTGGGAACCCCTCATAATGGGCACAGCAGGTGTGCATACCCAGAACCTCAGCACAGGGATGGTGGGAACCCCTCATAATGGGCACAGCAGGTGTTAGGGGGTTTAACTCTCCAGCATCCATTAGAGACTGATATAGTAATATAGTTTCATTCTTCTTTTCATTCTTCTTTTCATTCTTCTTTTCATTCTTCTTCTTCTTTTCATTCTTCTTTTCATTCTTCTTCTTCTTTTCATTCTTCTTTTCATTCTTCTTCTTCTTTTCATTCTTCTTCTTCTCATTCTTTTTTCATTCTTCTCATTCTTCTTTTCATTCTTCTCATTCTTCTTCTCATTCTTCTTTTCATTCTTCTTCTCATTCTTCTTTTCATTCTTCTTTTCATTCTTCTTTTCATTCTTCTCATTCTTCTTTTCATTCTTCTTTTCATTCTTCTTCTTCTTCTTTTCATTCTTCTTCTTCTTTTCATTCTTCTTTTCATTCTTCTTCTTCTTTTCATTCTTCAGAACAATACCAATACAATGGGGGAACGAGAACATTCTTCTTTTCATTCTTCTTTTTTCATTCTTCTTCTTCTTCTTTTCATTCTTCTTCTTCTTCTTTTCATTCTTCTTTTCATTCTTCTTCTTCTTCTTTTCATTCTTCTTCTTCTTCTTTTCATTCTTCTTCTTCTTCGTCGTCGTCGTGCCCCGTGACTGCCCAAATGAGTGAAGTGTGCGGTGATTCTAAGATCGACGGCACTCATCTGCATGTCATACTGACTGACAGTATTATTTCTCTTCCCCAGCAGACTCCAAGGGCATTTAAATTAAAGGTACAGTGTTCTGCACTAATATAAAGGCTCTCTGAAGCCTAGAAACCCTTTAAATAAGTTAAATTCGCGGCGAATAAATTCACATCGAATCAAATTTCTCCCGCAAATTCGGCGAATCAGCCGAATCGAATTTTTGAATAATTCGCTCATCTCTAATTACTTGATTTTTCTGCCAACTCCTGGCAAAAAAATGCTGCGTAGATAGGAATATTTTTAATATGCCGGAGTGCATAAAGTCCAAATATGAATTTACGTTGAATATAACATTGACTTGATACTTCATGAAAAAAAATGTGAAAGATTATTTACAGTAGGTAGTGTTTCAATTGGTATTATACATGAGGTCATCCTTATTTGCTTAATAAAAGAAGATATACTCCGTAGGCAGATTGGACAATATTTTCTTTTGCAAATGTAGGACAATATTGGACAATATTTTTTTTGGCAAATTTTTAAAATGTTGCACAAGGACCCCAAATACACTGTTGACATACGTTTATCCACTAGAGGGCATCCACAATTACTATACAAAATATGATCATGAAAATATGGCACAGCAAGCACGTGAAAATATAAAAACTGAGTGAAAATGACTTTCAGATAAACTTTACAGTATTAAATCAGAAATACATAACAGCCATCCTAGAAAAAAAAAAACTTACCTTTGCCTTTTCCACATTATTCTGAACTGCAGTTTAACAACATATTCCATATGTTTTTAAGCCAGCAAAATGTAATTTCCTGGAGGTGTATACTTTACAAGTCCATTGGCCATTTATTTTCAGTAAATGTAAGCTCCAGTGTATATTTATCAAAAAAAAATTCTTGATAGGAAACACAATTTTCTGAAATAGTGTCACCTGGCAGAATCAATCTGCTAAACTGTGCTTGCTGTCGTCTGACAGCATAGACTGGACTCGGCATAGTCGGACGAAACTTCAGACATGCCTGGCCTCTGCAATGAGCAAAACTTTATTTAACCCTGAGAAGCATCACAAATGGCATTCCCTCCACTAAGGCTAAGTTCACACCTATGCAGGTTGAGTTTGACCTGTTTCTGCATTGCAGTTTGCTTTGCATTTTGCGTTTTTGCACCTGCTGTTTTGATGCGTTTTGCCAAGTTTTTGAAGCGTTTTTCATTTTTCTTGTTGCTAAGGCAGATTTTAAAACATGCAAAAAGCATCAAGAACGTTGCAAAAACGCATCAAAAACACAATAGATGCTTTTTTTGCGGCATTTCCATTGAAGTCTATGCGTTCAAAAAAGCCCCTGATCCTTTCCAAAAAACACACCGGGTGAAAACGCAGAGATGTGAACCTGTAACATAGGAAATCATATTAACCACTTGCTGCCCTGCCACTGTACATATACGGCGGCAGGGCGGCACTCGCAGGCAAAATCACGTTTTAAAACGTGTGTTTTGTAAACAAATAGGGGGGGCGCGCGCGCGAGGCGCGCCGCCGCCCTATCTGTCCCACGGATCACCGCTGCAGATGTCAGTCGCTGGGTCACAGCCGCTCCTTAGCGGCTATGTCCCGGCGATCGGCGGCAAACAGTGACAGAGAGCACAGCTGCAGTAGCTGTGCTGTCTGTCACTTCCCTGTCAGCTCAAGGATGAGCTGATCGAGAAAGAACAGTTTCTCTTTCTTGATCAGCCTTGTCCCGTCCAGCACACACCCCCCGCCCCCCAGTAAAACACTCCCCTCACTCATATAACCCTTCCCTGCAAAATAAAGTTAACCCCTTCCTCCCCAGTGCCATTAGTACAGTGTCAGTTTTTTTTTTTTTTGCACTGATCACTGTTTTAGTGTTTTTGGGGATGTCAGTGACCCCAAGTCAGTACCCCCCAATGTCAGAATGTCCGCCGCAGTCCCGCAGTCCCGCCATAAGTCGCTGCCATAAGTCCCTGATTGCCGCCATAATTCGCTGATCGCCGCCATTATTAGTATAAGAAAAAAACTAAAAATCACAGTATCTTTCCCGCCATTTGTAAACGCTATAACTTTCACGTAAACCAATTAATTTACACGTATTGGGTTCTTTTTTTAGCAAAGACATGTTGCAGAATACATTTTGGCAGAAATGATTTTTGCATATTTTTTTTTTACTGGACATGTTTTATAGCAAAAAGTCCAAAATATTGTTTTTTTTCCTCAAAATTGTCAGACTTTTTTTTTTATAGCGCAAAAAATAAAAACCGCACAGGCAATCAAATACCACCGAAAGAAAGCTCAATTTGTGGGGAAAAAATGGATGTAAATTTCATTTATGTACCATATTGCATGACCCGCGCAATTGTCCGTTAAACTAGCGCAGCGCTGTATAGCAGAAAAATGGCGTAAATTGCAGTATTTATACCATAGTTTGTAGACGCTATAACTTTCACACAAAGCAATCAATATACACTCATTGGGATTTTTTTTTACCAAAAACATGGAGCAGAATACATTTTGGCCTAAATTTATAACCAACTTTGAGTTTACTATATATTTTTTATAGCTGAAAGTAAAAAATATTGTTTTTCTTCAAAATGTTTGGCCTTTTTTTGTTTATAGCGTGAAAAATAAAAAGCGCACAGATGTTCAAATACCACCGAAAGAAAGATCTATTTGTGTGAAAAAAAGGACGTAAATTTCGTTTGGGTGCAGCATTGCATGACCGCGCAATTATCAGTTGAATTAGTGCAGAGCCGAGTAGCAAAAAGAGGCCTGGTCATTAAGGGGGGTAAATCCTCTGGAGCTCAAGTGGTTAAATGGACTGTACTGCATTTGTGCAAAACGCTGCAGAAAACGCTTAGGTGTGACTCTGGTTTGCCATTTGCCTGTACTCTACATAAAATTAATTTTGTATTTAAAGGTTACGGCGACAAGACATCGAGGTTTACCGTACGTTTGCTATTTGAATGCAGTGAATTTTCATTTTGCAAAGAATACCTAACCCTGTACAAGTTTTTTTTTTTTTTTTTACAGAAAAATACAAGAACGTTTTTTTTGTTTTTTGTTTTTTCTTAATTTCTGCTAGCACATTATTGAATGATGGAAGTCAAGAGCTTCACCTCATTCAAATTCCTTGCAAAGTTCAACTTCTCTTGCAATGTGAGCAGTCTATTTGTTTTTAGTAAATCACCCCCTTATTTAAACCACTTGTCTACAAAAAGGTACAAAAGTAAACATTTATTATATTGCGGCTTACCAATTTTTAGATGTGATGGCTGCATTCGTTTTTTTTAGGCTTTCTTTCTACTATTTTCATCTGGTGATCTGCCCAGTACTTCTATTGTTTGTCAACAGAACAAGCTGTCCTGCAGACGTATCAGTTGTAGGATTGAGACAAACCGTTTAACACTGGCAGGGGTGCTTACAATGGTCAGCTTATATTTATTTATGTAAAACCTTTTTCCAAAAAGAAAAAAATATTTGCTTTTTACGTATAAACTTTATAAAGTGTTAGCTAGAGTTTGGCTTCAATTTGTTAGTGTATCTAAATCTGCTAGTACATCTAACATTTCCTTCCCCCCAGACTGACAATGCTGCTGTGCAAAAGTGCCTCCTGTGCTTATTCATCAAGAGTGGGAGCGCTCTAATACAGGAGGTGTGTTACTGGCCAAATCACCAGGTGAAAACAGAGGGGGAAAAAGTCTAAAAAACAAGATAACTAATGCAGCCCCCACTTCTAATGGTTAGTAATCTGTGATATACTGTATTACATTTTTTGTTTTTAATATCAATTTAACAACCAGTGCATGGCTTTGCAATAAAAGTGATCGGGTGGCTGTAGATCATTTTTATTGGGTACTCAAAGTACCACTTGAACATTGGAAGCAGGAGAAACATGGAGCAAATTTTTTCCCCGATCTCTCCTGCAACTAGGGGTGAACTGACCATTTGGAAACTTGGGCATTGCCCGAGGGCCCGGGGTCAGTAGGGGGCCCCATGAGATGCCCCTGGTACCTTTTTCATAGGCTTTTTTGAGTTTGGGAAAGGACACAGGTGTTCCATGGTCCCCTATTGCCCGGGGGCCCCATGAGTTGTCAGTCCGCCCCTGCCTGCAACTAATGACCTCAGAAGCAGCATCATGTTTGGGGTTACAAATGAAATTCCTCAGCTACTGTAGCTGAGGGTGCAGCTATTCAAAAATGATCTGTGCTTGAATAGCTGCATTGGAGGGCAGGGGAGACAATGAGTGCCTAATAGACCCTCAATGTCTCC